CTCAGTCTCTTCCCTCTCTGTGAGAAATGGAAGCATTTCTTCCTCTCGTCTCCCGTGATCATCGGCTGTGGATGGTCCCGACACTAATCACTCATTCTCCAGTTCCCCTTCTTCCGCCAGCCACTGGAAACCCCGGAATAATCTGGGGACTCAGGCAAGCCCCCCCACCCCAGGTTCAATGGGCAGATGGTCAGAGAGAGTTGGGGATGAGTCTTCGATCCCCACGTTTGGGGATCTGGAGCCAGGGTGGGAAGTAGGTTGGATTTACTGAGCTGTTTCTGAGGAGCCCAGACAGTGGGCTGCTTGGCAGCCGTGTGCACGTTCCCTAACTGGAGGTGGCAGGTGACTGGGTCCCTCATTGACCGATGGGGGTGGAATGCAGAGTGTGCGTTTGTGCTCCCCACCTCCCCCGGACTCAGCAGGGGCTTCTGTCTGACCATCCCTTTCTCCACTGTATTTTGGGCCTACCGTCTCCTTACAGAGGCATGGTCAGCTGTGAGCCGCCTCAGGGGAATGCCTGTGCGAAATGCTCCCCGCGGGGTAACTGCCACTTTTGAACCGTGCACGTGTGGCTCCCCGGGGTGCCCTCCCTGTCCTACTGGTGACAGTGCTCCCACTTCCAGCTTCCCGGTGGACGGGAGAGTCTGGGAGCTTTGGAGGCTGGGGAGCAGCCCTGGGAATGGCTTGCTCGGGTCAGTCAGGGTTAATTGTACGTTTACAAATACACAGTGACTTTTTAGCTGAAATTCAGGACAGACAAGATTTGGTTAGTGACATCTAAATTCACTTATGTGAAAATAATTACACAAATACAAACTTAAATCACATTTAGTTATGACCTTTATTAAAAAAAAGAGTAAAATCATAAGAAAAGATGGAACCATCAACCACAAATGTATATATCAATTAAAGTGATGTTTTTGGCCGTTCTTCTGGTGAGACCCACTTAGTCATGTTTCAGGAAAGCCAGTTGAGTGATGAGCTAAATCTTTTAATTTTTAAAAACATTCTTGACAAGCCTCTTAGTAACTAATTTGAATTAGCAAAAGAAATCTCACCTCAGGGCTCATAAAGGCCTTTGCCGGTCCCTGAAAGTTGTCGATCGTGAAAAATGACCTGTGGCCGTTTGCACGTCTCCTTTGGAGACGTGTCTGTTCAAGTCCTTAGTCCATTTGCAAATTGAGTTATTAGCTTTGTGCTGTTGAGTGAGGTACTGAAGTCCCTTACTCATCTTTGAAATTAGCCTCTTATCAGATGGGCGGGGTGCAAACCTTTCCCGCCCTCCTGCAGGATGCCTTTCCGCTGGGCTGGGGCTTCCTCTGCTGGGCAGAAGCTGTTTAGGTTCGTGTGCTCCCACTGTTGATGTTTTCTCCGTTGCCGGTGCGCTTGGTGTCCTGCCCACGCCATGTGATGTCATCCCCAGAGTCAGTGTCCCGGTGCTTTCCTGGTGTTCTCCTCTGGAAGTTCAAGTTTCAGGCCTTACCTTTGGGTTTCCAGTCCATGTGGAGTGGATTTTTGTGTGTGATGTAAGATAGGGCTGCACTTTCGTTCTTCTGACCGTCGTTTCCAGTCCCCTGAGCACCGTTTGTTGAAGAGACTTCCCCGTTGTGTGTTCTTGGGGCCGCTGGTGAAGGCCCCTTGACCGTATATGTGTTTGTTTCTGGCTCTCTGTTCTGCCCACGGGTCTCCATGTCTGTCTGTATGCCGGGGCATACTTTCGTGGTGCCTGTGGCTTTGTAATGTATTTCGAAGTCAGAAAGTGGGATGCCTTCAATGGGCACGTGAGAAGGTGCTGCACGTCACTCATCATCAGGGAAATGCAAACCCAAACCACGATGAGATCTCACCTCACGCCTGCTGGGATGGCCGTTCATAAAACAACAGAAGACAATGAGTGCTGGTGAGGATGTGGAGCCACCTGGAGCCTTCGTGGACTGTGGCTGGGGACACAAACGTGTGGCCGCTGTGGAGAACAGTACAGAGGGTTCTCAAAAAGTTAAAAATAGAGCTGCCACATGACCTGACAGCTCCACTTCTGGGTATATGCCCGAAAGAGTTGAAAGTGGGATCCAAAGTGATATTTGCACTCCCACATTCATAGCAGTATGACTCACAAGACATGGAAACAGTCCTAATGTCCATCAACAGATACATGGATAGAGAAAATGTGGTCCATACACACAGTGGAATATTATTCAGCCTTAAAAAAGAAGGAGATCCTGCATTATCTGACAACTGGGAAGAAGCTGGAAGACATTATGCTGAGTGAAACGAGCCAGTCACCGAGGGACGAATACTGCACGATTCCTCTTAAGGGAAGCGTCTACAATAGACTCCGGGAAGCAAACGGTAAAATGGTGCTTGGACATGAGGAGCTGTTGCTCAGCGTGTTCAGCTCCAGCTGCGCAAGACGGATACACTGGGGAGCTCTGCTCCCAATGGCGTACCTATAGCCAATAATACGTGTTGCACACTTAGACATCTGAAAGGCTAGAGCTCATGTTAAGTATTCTTACCACAATAAAAATTTAACCCCCCCACCAAAACAAAAAACCGACCGGTCACTGCAGCAGCACTCTGGAGAGAGGGTTGTGCTCGCTCTCTCCGTCTTTCCCTTTAGATCCAGACACTGCTGCTTCCCCGGGAGGGTCCTCTGTTCCGTGGTCACCGCTGGAGGGTGTTCTCCCACTCCCCGGGGCCAGCAGCTTCTCCCTGAGGTTAGGGCAGCACCCTAACGACAGAAGAGGGGGAGACTTCTCACAAAGACCCTTTGTCTCCCCAGATGGTTCCACTTACAGTGCGGTTTCACTGGCATCCCGGGTAATTGATAGATGCACTGGAGACCTGTGGTCCCAGAGTTCAGGCTGCAGAGAAGCCCACGTTGGCTGCCGCCCCATCTAGACTGTAGAGTCCCGCAGCTGGCCGTGTGTCCCCTCAATCCTCACGTCCCACAGCAAAGTCCTGACACGAGTGGAAAGGCTCCCACCAGGCCCCAGCGGGCTCCGGGCCTCATTCTAGAAAACACCTCCCTGGACATAGAGGCTAGACCCGGAAGACCTGACTCAGTGTCCCCGAAAACCCCAAGAATGGCAGTTGTGGCCTCCACAGCCTCCAGATGTCCCACAGCAGCCGAGCAGTGTTTACAAGCTGTCTTGGTCTGCACCAGTCCAAGAACCTTTGGGTCTTAACAAGAAGGGACATTTTGAAGCAATTCGTATAAATTGTAAGATCGTATGATCTGCCCCCAGATGTGGTATTCGGATATGGTGGCAAATGTTTATTACACAAATGATCTCCACCAATATCTGACTGGCATTTTAGCAAACATGCTTGGAAAATGTTCTTAGGACATGTATTCTTTCCTCAAAATTAGTGCAAGAATTGTCAAACACTCCACTGATACTTAATTTATCTATGAGGCTGTTGGGACTCCTCTGATCCTCAGGTGTCCTGGTCTAAACTCCTACTTCAATCCTGTATTCTAGTAGGAATACTCGTAATATGGGAATAGGCGGTGGTATCTAGGATTACACCGGCCTGATGAGACCGTGCAGACCGGAGGCCAGGCCTGGGGCTCGGGCGCTTAGGCACTTCCTCTGGGGCATTTTCTCCTTCCACTGCCTGTCCTGGGGAAGCCCTGGATGTCAGCGGGCTGTGGCTAGTACTCCTGCCTCCCGCCGGGGCTCAGACCCAATGACTGACCTGTGTGGGGTCCACAGACCCCTGCTCCCTCACCGTCAGGTGCTCAGACTGCAGAGCAGGTGCCCGAGCTCTGGGTGGGATCAGGCCCCGACCTCTTCTGCTGCTTTGCCCCGGCTTCTCCCATCTTGCCCCTACTCCCACAGGTTTCTCCCAAGGGGCCTGTCCACACTCCCTGATGCAAGTGCCCCTGCCTTGGGCTCCTTCCCAGTGGACCTGGCTGGACGTCAGGACAGAGCAAGTTCTGGTGGGTGGGAAGGATGCTGTCGGCCGGGCAGCGAGAGGGTGGACAGCAGGGGACAAGCGCTTGTGATTAAAGGAACCTCAGCTGCTGCTGTCATGATTAACTTAATTTAAAAATCTAACACAAATGTAACCCAGTGCTGACACTTAATTCTGGTGAGAACGTGCATGTGTGTGATGCACTGTATTTTTCTTTTGTCTTTTTGTATTTCTTAAGATGTTCTTTCACAAATTAACTTTGAATAAGGAGCACATTGGCTTCGTAGTACAACCCAAGGTCTGCAATGAGAGCTGCGCCTGGCTCTGTCCATGCAAGTCCCAGATGCTTTGCACGGAGCAGCTCAGGAAGTCCCCACACAGTCCCCTGAGGCAGGAAGGGTCATCCGCTCTGGAGACAAGGAGGCCAGGTGTCTGGCTGAGGCCGCGGCGCAGGCGGCGCAGGTCGGTGCTGAGGGCAGGGCTTGCCCCCTGGCTGAGGGGCTCCGAAGCTCCTGTTCACACAGTTTTGCTTGCCGCATGCTCCCTGTATTGAAAACAGTCTCTTAGAGTAATTTTTAAAATGGAATCTGAGTGCCAACTCATGTTTCTTTGGTAGCTTACTTGAACTTAATTCAGATGTCCCCTGTGTTATTTGAGGTAGAAAATGTCATGTGTTGATTTCCAAGTTTCTTTAAAACATGTTACAAAGCTTTACTAGGATTGCATTTTTCTTTTCCATAGTTTGCCTTTATTTTGTGGGTGAACTGACTTTTATGTTTCAACGATGACGACAAGGTCGCCGTCCTGCTGCCCCCACATCCAGTCACACTGGCCCAGCCATCTGCCTAGGACGGCCCCCACCCCGCCTACCCAGGTCCTCCTCCCAGACACCCGGAGGGGGCTGCTGGTAGCTCTGTTCACCCCCTATGGGCCGGAGGCAGGTGCTCTCATCCATTTTGGAGATGAGGAAGTGGGTCGTAAAACCGAATGGCGTAGCTGAGCGAGGTTTGCACTGGGCTTGAAGGGGAGGCAGGGAGCGTGCCAGGGCTGGGAAGAGCTCCCTGGCGCCCACGCAGGTTTGGGGCGCATCTGCAGGGTCAGTTTGAACTGATTTTAATGACCTTTGAAAGCTTCAGGAGCTCCGGCCACCATGACGCCTGCCATGTGCTTGGCCAGTCGGGCTCTGTGAGGTGTGTGAGGGTCCTGAGGAGGTGGGAGCACCACTGAGCGTCCCCTTCCTGCTCCTGGGCCCTGCGGCCACAGATTCCAGAGGTCCGTCTTTCCCAGCTCAGAGTCCACCACCCACCACCTGGTTCTGAACCGCCCTGAGTGTCTCCTCTGTCTTGATGACTCTCTCCTGGGTGAGAGCTTCGTGTGCAGGCTGAGAAAGCACAGAACGCCTACCATGAGATTTGAACTCACCCCTAATTTTATCACCGATAGTCCCTAAGTGTTGCTATGTTTGTCTCTTTCTCAGCTTTGGTCCTGAGCAAAGTCCTCAAAGTCTAAAAACCCAGACTCATCCCAGCCGAGGGAATGATCTCCCTCCCAGAATTGGAAATGGCACGTACTGCATGTGGCCTGAGGAAGACTTGTCACTCTGGCAGCAAAAACTCCAAACAAACAAGGCCGACTGCTAAGTCAGAAACTGTCTTGGGGGCGCCTGGGTGGCTCAGCTGGCTGAGCACCTGACTTGGTTTCAGTTCAGGTCATGATCTTGGGGTCATGGGATTGGGCCCTGCATTGGGCTCTGCTGGGAGTCCTCCTGAGATGCTCTCTCGCCCTCTGCCCCCTCCCTGCTCATGTTTGCCCTCTCTCTCTCTCTCTCTCTCAAATGAATGGATAAATCTTAAAAAAAAAAAAAAAAAGAAAAGAAAAAAGAAACTGTCTTTGGCCGCAGCGTGAGCCGGGATGCCTCTGCAGGTTCCCTGCCCAGACCCGCCTGCGTGACAGTGGGGTGCCTGAGCATCTTCCAGGAGCTGGGGAATAGCAGCTCCCTGGGCAGGGCCCCTGACCCCAATGTGGGGAGGGAGATCTGGACCTGCCCACTGTGTTGCACACCAAGCTCGGGGAGTCACTGCCCGGCCTGGAGGGCACGCTCAGCACAAGGGAAAGAAGCAAGCAGCAAAGACAGAACACAGTGTGGAGGAAAGGGAGCTCCCACCCACTGGGCTTCCTGCCCCACTGGCCACTGGCGGGTGGGGCCAGGGCAGGAGCACAGCCATTCCAGCTCTGACCTAGCCCCATTGTCCTACGGCGTTGAGACAAATCATGTTGCCCTGGAGGGGAGGACCAGAAAGCCAGCCACCAGCCTTGAGCACAAACTCTCTGGGCTTCTAAGGCAACAAGAAGGACGGTCTGATGTATATCCCCATGGTCGGGAGGAAGGAAGCGCGCTTGTTCTTTAGGAAAAACTGCCTTATTTCCCTGGAGCTAAATCAGAAAAAATACTTCCAGTGGATCTTTGTGTAAATTACATTGATGGGGGGTGGGGAACATCCCTGACTTGGGGCACCAGAGGCCAAGGCCAGGGTGTTGTAATATGAATGCATGAAGGTATGTCTCCAGGAGCCAGGTTGATGTGGCCACCGTGTCAGCGATCTCAGCTGATGCAGGGACAGGAGTTAGAGAAAGTGGGTCTCTCTCTCTCTCCATTCCCTTTGCCCTCCCCCAGCTTTGTGGGGATCTGCTGGCTTTGCAGTGGGGGTGCCTGGCTGTTTGGGTTGCTCATTGAGGGGAGATCAAGGTCCTTGAGAAAGACTACAGGTTACAGAGCTGTGGGCCCTGCTGGGGCACTAAGGCAGTCTTTGGAAGGGCTGGGCTCCTGGAGGCCGGGTCTCCCCCATGCCTGGCTGCTTCCCCATCATGCACCCAGGCCCTTCATGCCTTGACAGACCCTCAGATGTCCTGAGCCGACACTCGGGATGAGCAAGAGCTGACTGCCTTTATTCCATATGCAATAGTAATGATGCTAACAAAATAGCAGTAGTGAGCTCTTAGGTGCAAGCAGGACTTCTCTGGCACATCGCCTTGATGGCTCCTGATCCCCACGATGACACCACGGGCCCATCCCAGCCCTGTCCCCACTTTACAGATGAGAACAGCAAGCCAGAGAAGCTGCGGGATGCACGCACTGGCTGTTCCCGGCGCCCACCTGGATCTCAGCCGGAGTCTGGGCCGACTTCAGAGGCGCGTGGCGACAAGCCAGGTGGCCATCCTCTGTGCAGGCACCTGGGTAAGGACGCGTGGGCCTTTCCTTGTGATCAGAAAGCTGTAGTGCCTGTTGTTTAGAATGCAGAGCGTTAAGGTGTACAGACACATAGCTGAGCGGGGTCTCACATGGCCCTCCTCCCCCTGCCCCTGCAAAGGGAAGGGGACGCCCCCTGGGAGATGGAACTGCCTCAGGGAGACCTTAGGTCCCAGGCAGTGCACCTCGGGGCCATTGTTTCAGGCTCACGAGAGGGGCTGGAGCAGGTGGGGCCTGGCGCCTCCAGAAACACGGCCGGTCGGGGCTGGCAGCGGGCACCACCCGTGGCTCACACGGAGATGGCAACTGTACATATTTAAAAGGAGCATGGCCGGCTTCCTAGCTGAAGGATGTTTCCCCGGAGGGACCACCACCATTTGATCTATTTTTGATTAAAATGTAAAAATTAAAAATTAAATCAAATGGTAGTAGAACTCCTTGGGGAAAACACACTTCGGTTATGAAGTATTCCCCACAGTAACCTTGAGACTCTTACAGCAGCATTGTCTCATCTGTAGGTGGTCTTTTTATGACACACATAATTAAAATGAATTGCAGTGAGAACCACCAAATGCCTCCTTCAGAGGTGTGGACTGCGGGCTGGCGCTTCTGGAACAGGTCCTGGTCGGGGAGGCACCAGGCGGAGGGGACAGATGGGGCTGCCCAGCCAGAACGGGACCCTTCCCCCTGCCTGTCCCCAGTGCCGCCTCATCCCGCCCACATTGGCCAAGGATCTCACCTGCTTCTCCTGCCCAAACAGCCGATGCGCATTTCGAGTCATGTCACCCAAGTAGGTGCAACTGGATTTCCTAGGAAAATGTGTTTGCAGAATCCAATCTGCAGCTTATTTGTATCAGGCTACTTTGTCAGTCTGCCTTGGAAATGGGAAAGCACCTTTGAGAGGTAGAGGGTGCCCGCCTTGAATTTGCATTCCCGACCCCGTGGCTGACGGATACGCGGCACTCTGGTTTGAAGGGATGTGACCTTCTGAGGTCGTGACTTCATCACCATTAGCGTGGGGTGTGACTGGACATGCCGTGGCTGCCTAATGACAATTTCTGGTCTGCATTCATGTTTTGAGACCTCTGCTTCGGATGAAAATGCCGCAGAATAACAGCATTTCCTCCCTAAAGATCTTTTTTTTTTTTTTTTTTAAGATTTTATTTATTTATTTGACAGAAAGACAGCCAGAGAGGGAACACAAGCAGGGGGAGCGGGGGAGGGAGAAGCAGGCTTCCTGAGGAGCAGGGAGCCCGACGCGGGGCTCGATCCCAGGACCCTGGGATCATGACCTGAGCCGAAGGCAGCCGCTTAATGACTGAGCCACCCAGGCGCCGCTAAAGGTCTTAAGCTTTAGACAGCTACCAGCGACGCTGTGCCATGGTTTCTAGGCAAACAAACATGCAAGGGTGCCAGGCCCAGAGGTGCCGATCCAGGGTCGGAGGCACAGGGCCTGTGCCGGCCCCATCTCAGAGCACACTCAGGTGGGGCCCCCACCTTTCTGATTACCTGCTGGTGTCATCCTGCCAATATGTGACACATGGTGATTTTCCTTTCTGTTCTCAAAAGTTGTGGCAGCCAGTGACAGGCGTAGTGATTTGGGATGGAAGTGCTCTGATGAGCATGCAGCACAAGCCCCGGGCAGGACAGAAGAAGCCCACCTCAGAACCTGCCCTGCTGGGAAGCACCTTCAGGGTCCCCAGTGGCCAGGCCTGGCCCGAGGATCAAGCTGGTCCCTACCCTCCAGGGAAACCCAACTCCCTGGGTCAGGTCCAAAACTTTCTTCAAGGGTGGGTCTTATTCACCTCCACGGGCCCGTGGGCCCTGGCCATAGTTCTGTGGGAGCCATCATCACAGCGGGTGTGACCATCTCCCACCAAGCTCAAGGTCCTGAGGGGAGAGAGCTGCAGGTAAGAGCTGGGTGCCTGGAGTCTGCAGGCTGAGAGGTGCCGCTCACGGGAGGCCCTGGGAGCTCTGCCCCTCACATGGCTGATGTGCTGTTGGGTGCTACGGACTGCGAGGGCCCGCTGGGTTGGGTGCCTGTGAGCCCCAACCCTCAGAATTTCAAATCTATCATGTGCAAACTAAAAAACTGCCCTCCATCTACAAGCTGCAAGCAGGTCCTCCCTGCAGGAGGCTGAGCTCTGCACTGCCCTGGGGTGTCAGTCCTTCCTTTTGGTTTAAGCAGTGGGTGGACAGATGGCCTGGTTATGAAGAGGCAGGGCTCAAGCAGCTCGTAGTTCAGAGGCAAGGAGATGCAGGGTCTTCTGGAAGATCACAAGTCTCAGCTGCTCAGGGACCCAGAAAGCAAAGGGCAGCACAAGGGCAGGGGGCTTTCTCCCACATGCACATGGGACCCAGCACATGTTATAAACGACATCTTTTTAAAAATCTGTTTTCCAGTGGTATTTCCCATGGCTGGTATTTGGGAGGAGTTTTAGATCTTTATAGATGTGTTTGATCTGGCTGGCTGGTACACCTTCTTACTCATTTTTAATACTTTCTTTTTTTTTAAGATTAAAAAATTTTTTTTTTAAATTTTTTATTCATTTGACACACAGAGACACGGCGAGAGAGGGAAAACAAGCAGGGGGAATGGGAGAGGGAGAAGCAGGCTTCCCATTGAGCAGGGAGCCCGATGCAGGGCCTCTGGGATCATGACCTGAGCCGAAGGCAGACGTTTAACAACTGAGCCACCCAGGCGCCCCCCGTTTTTAATATTTTAACAAATTAATTCTCCTGGATTTTCTAAGAATACCAACATGTTTATAATGATAACTGATTTTGGTTTTAAGTGTATTGGACCCTCAACTCCCTTGTTTATTTATTTTTATTTTTTACTATTGGCAGGTGCTTTCAAAAACTTCGTGTTGTGGGAGATTCAAACCTGCTTACATGTAGAACCGGAGCCTGGGCTCCCCTGTGCATCATCCAGCTTCATCAAGTGCTGACTCAGCCCGTCTTGCTGCTTCTCTCTCCGTGAGGGCTTCTGTCCTGGGGTAGATGAAGCAAAACCAAGGCATTGTTTTATGTCATCCTAAAGACTCCAGCATGTATCTTTAGCAGGTGAGGATATCTTGGTCACACTTTAACTTCCCTACATCTCACAAAACAGTGACTCCCTCGTATCATCTGACACCATTCACACTCACTTTTCCTCCAGGTGATGAGGTCTGCCCTCCTTCCTTCCTAGACCTTCTTCTGTGGCCGGTTTCCTGCCTGTCACACCAGTTAGACGTAGGCTTTCTACATCCGGTTGGAGTGATGAAGATGCGTGTGCCTCTGAGTAGTTATGGGTCTGAGAGGGCAGGAGCGGATACAGAACAGAGTGGATTTCAGGCTTTCGGGGTGAGGGGGCAGCCCAGCTGCGGGGAGAGCGGAGGGGCTGGCGCTGAAGGAGTCTCCATGCTGAGGGGCTGGTGTAGGCGGCTTGGGCAGCCCCAAGGAGAAGCGCCAGAGGCTCTAAGGCTTCAGCCTGAAACACACCAGCCCTGAGACACACGGGGCCAAGACTGTTCTAGAAAACGGAGGGTAAAATGGATCACAGAGTTGCTTCTGAAGAAACGAGCTGAAGAAAGCACTTACCCATCTATAAACTCTTCTAAGAATGTAGATTCAATCCAAGGAGCAGAGTTTTTGTTTTCTAATATATTTCCTTGGTCAGTTAACGTAGTTCCATCCAGACTGCTCTGAGTGGCTAACACTTGCAGAATGATCTTTCCATCGACCTGGCGACCACGCAGTGTCTGGCTTAGCACAAACCCTGGTCCGGCCCTGAAACCCAGGCAGTGCTCTGTCTCATGTCTCCCCCCACCCCACCCCCTACACGGATGCCCACAACACTCTGCCTGGTGGGGTGTGTGTGTGTGTGTGTGTGTGTGTATGCATGTGAGTGTGTATCAGCGCAGATCTGGCTCATCATTTTAAGAGGAACAATAATTCTCATAGCCAGTATGCTATTGAGAGACACTGAGGTTGCTTTTGAATTTTGCCTATGGCAAAAATGATAAAATTCATAGGCTAGAGTATGCAAATCCAATCTAGATAGTTTACTATAAAATTAGCAAGAATTTTTTAAAAGCATAATACTTAGTGCTGGTGAAGATGTGGAAAAGGCACTCAGTCACTCTTGGTAGCTGTAAACGGTGTTACGATCATTTTGGATGACAATTTGGCAAATTCTATTAATATGTAAAATGCTCCTGCTCTTTGGTTAATTTGTGGCTTTCCTGGGAAGTGAGTCTATGTATAGATTTGTGCCCAAAGGTGCCTTTTGAGCCTTGCTCCCCAGACCTCCGAAAGGACCTCCTGAGCCCAGACCCTGTATGTGGAAACTTTGGCGTCCCGAGAGGCTTCAGCACGTGGAACCGTGTGTGCTCGGAGGTGAGAGCACCGGCATGTAGGGGTTTGCTGCTTCGCTTTCTGTCTCCAGCACAGCTTCTCCCGGGCAAGACGTCAGCTCCGGAGCGCTGTCTCTTTCCAAGTGAAGCCAGTGTCGCAGACTGCCCTTCAGGGGTCAGAAGGAGGTGATGCCGTTCGGGACCGTGCAGCACCTCCTGCCCACCTCAGAGGTCTGGGGGTGGCCATGGGGTCCTCACCAAGGCTTAGCATCCTTTTGTATGTTGGCTCCTGCCCCGGAGTGTTCCCCTGAGTAAGGGGGCCTGCGCAGTTCCCCAAAGCCCTCCTAGCCCTCAGTGCCCCCCAAACGCTGGGCCTCCTGCTTCTCCACAGTGGCCTCTACATTCTGTTCCTTTGAGTAAGGTGCAGGGTGGGGTGGGGCAGGGGAGAATCACCAGAGGCTTTTATTGCCGTCTTACTTCTCTTTGGAAGAGTAAGAATTTTAAGAATTGACACCATTACTTGGTGTCCGTGAACCAAATGACCCACTGCCTCAGCTGCTTTGCCAAAGGAGGCTTGACATGGCCTTCCCCTTGGAGAGAGTCAGATGTCCACACGTGCCTTGCACAGCAGGCAAGCAGATGTTAGGATGCAGTTATGGGAGTTCTGTGGGCTGCTTGGCAAGCCGCTGGCTGGCACCAGGGGAGCGTCTCTAGCCCCAAGGGAGCGGGGTCTGGGGCCCCCGACCCCAGGCCTGCTGATGCTGCTGGCAGCCAGATTTCCCAGCATTCCCTTACAGAGGTGGCACCCAGGCCCAGACTGCTCCAACCGCAGCTCCTGGCGTCCCCACGGATGCATCCACTCTCACGATCGTCCCAGGAGAAGGGAGAGGGGCAGAGGACGGGGGTCCCTTCCTGGAGCACCCGCACAGCCTACCCTTGGCTTTGGAGCGAGTGTCCCCCAGCAGGCCAGTTTCTCATCCCAAACCCCGTGCCCTCGACGCTGTGCACTTTGCCACATCTGTCACTGGATCATGCCATTAGCTCTCCGGGAACAGCAATTCATGGTCACCCCAAGTGCCTGTACCCAAACAAAATAGTGTATGAGAGGCCATGAGGTTTCTTAGCGGTAAAGAGGCATCCTTATCATCCACGGTTTACGAATGAGACAACAGGCCCAGGTTGTAAGCTGCCTGAGGGCTCAGCCATATGGGACAGAGCAGCACTGGTCAGGGCTTCTGTCTCCATTCCTGGCTACTAGGTGACTGACTCTCCCAATCTGTCTGTGACTGAGGGTCTCCCGGGACACATGGTTTTCGGTGCTAACATGGGGACATTCCAGACAAACTGGCGGCAGTTACTCACTGTGCCCAGCCTCTCCCAGGCTTCTCCTGGGTCCTCCCTGCCAGCTGGGACCCTGTCTCCGAGCTCAGAACCCCGCGGTTCATGGCTTTCTTCCAGGTTGCCTCACCCGCCTCCTCCCCCTGTGGAGGCCTATCACGGGAGAGCACACACAGTTGATGCTCAGTGGTTGTGTCCCAAGGAGCACTGAATGGGTGGCGGGCAGGGCCTGCAGATGATAGTCAGGAGGGCAGCCTAGTGCCAACCTCGTGAACTGGGCAGTCTGAGGCCAGGGCGGGGGGCAGGGAGGGACTGGGGCTGCGGCTGGGCACCCTCCAGGCCCTGGACCTCGCCCATACCTCCCGACTGCCCTGGCTGGTCTTTGTATCCCATCATTTAAATTGAACAAATGCTAATTAAGAAAATAATCCCCCCCGAATCATTTTCCTCCCAGCCTGCATGCCTGTGTCCAGAGGCCAAGTCTGGAGGAAATGTTAACACAGGCTAATGAAGACCTTGACTGTGACTTGAAGGACTACCCTGCTGGGGCAGAATCCTGGGCAGGAGATGGCAGCCAGCAGATGCATGCTCCTGACTGACTTAGAACAGAAGTGGGGGCCTGTGGCGAAAGTCGAGGGGCCGGGGATCTTTCCTAGACCTGTTATTCTCTAATGAATGTATTTCTCTTCCCGTGACCACATGCAACTGAGGATTTATCCGCAATCAACAAATGAGAAGTTCTGAGCCAGAAACCCGAGTCCGTGCTGGTCCTCCACCTGGGGCGCTCCCGCCACCCGCTGGCCCAGACATCTGGGGACCCATGCCGTCCTGCTCTGCCCATACCTGCCCATCGCATGTTTCTCCCTGTCACCAAAGAATTAAAGACAACATCTTGGGTAGGAAGCTATTGTGGAGGGTGGAAGTTTCTGGCCAGGCAAATAAATTGGATTTAAGTATATTACAGTCATAATCTTTTTCTGCCTCTCTCCAGACGGTCTCTGTACATGGAGAAATGAGAATGTATTCTCAGACAAAGCGTGACCTGAGGGAGAAGCCTGCCGGAATCTGGATTTTCAATAACATAAGACAATAAAGCTTAGACTTCTAACCTGCTGCAATATGGTCAGAGTATAAAGAGCTTAGCTCCTAATAAAAGGGCAGGGCTTCCGCTCATATCTGAAGATCCGGACCCCCCAGAAGGACACTTCATAAAGATCGTAACGGGTTAGCCTGGATCACACAGACACGAGGCCTTGTTGACCGATTGTCTGACAGTTGTCACCTATGGATCTGATATTAATAAGTCCCGTGTTGATTTCCTCAGGGTATTTTTGTCCCTGTAATTGCACCTCTTCCTGTTGTGACCCTACACTGGGTGGCATGTTGCGTGCACGTTGCACCCTTTTTTCTGGGGTTTGCCCACCGTGATATGGCACCTCCCTGAGTGGGGCGATGAACTGGCAGCAGCTGGACAATGGCAAGGGCAAGCTCGTAGAACACAGGACAGAGCCACCTGAGCCACCTGCTTCTCCCTGGGAGCTCGAGTACTCTGACACCTTCCACAGGAGGAGAGCAGGTGAAATTCGGTATCGTCAGCCATTCTTCTGTGAATTTGTTTGCCTCTCAGAGACTGCCAGGGGATTAATGGGTTGCCAGGTGGTTCCCCTGACAGCGTAATTGAGGCAAAGTATGTGAATCTACTGCATGAATATAATTGCATGAATGAAGCTGAGGGACAATAGTGGAGCTTGGTTAAAAATCTCTGACACATAAAATGCCACTGAGCCAGCAACAGAGAAGTGGAGAATTGGACCAGCCAGCAGCCCCTCTGGCTATGCGTCCTCTCCCATGGTGCCAATGGCATCGCCCTGACTCCTGCCCCCTTCCGTTTCCACCCAGACTTTCTGGTGGCCCCAAGGCAGGTCCATGCCACGCTCTGCAGTATCATCTGCACTTTAAAATGACATTGAGGCCAAGTATTCCAGAGCATTTCAATTCTGTTCACTCCAGGTGCTGCTTTATTCCCCTGGCTGCACCTCAGAAGAGCCCACCCCTCTCATGTGGGACACATCTCTGCAGAAGTTTTCATTTCTGGGGTGTACCCAGTGGGGAGAGGCAAGTGTGGGATGCTGGATGCTCTAGGACAGGACTGTAGACTCTGCTAGGCTCCTTCCTTCTCTGGGAACCCTGCCCTGGTCCATGTGGAGAAGGACGACAAAGGAAAGCACCTACTGAGGTAAGGCACGTACCTGTGTGCAGCCATGCCATACTTTGGGAACTCAGAACACCTTCTGTAGTGATTTACACCAATCAGGGAGCCATGTCTGTTTCTCCCTTTGATTGTTAAGTCAAAGACCATTGAAAATGTGGCATATTCACAGCAACACACAGCCATGGGGAGGCTGATGATGAGAAAGGGGCTACCCCTCAGGTAAAGTGCTGGATAGGGTGTCAGAGGGGCTTGGAGAGGAAACTGCCCACCTCAGGGCCAGGCTCTTGGGGCTGCCGGGAGCTGGTGCTGAGCCACAGACCAGGCCCACAAAAACCATCTGGTGCCCTCATCCAGTATGGGAACTGTCCCTACAGATGCTTATGGTCCTGTGACAGGAGGTCCCGGGGTCTGTGGGTGGTGCCCATGACCTATTGATCTTGGAAGACCAGAGCCCAAGACCCAAAGTGGGTTCCTGGTCAGACAGGCCTGATGTTGGAGGTTGGTATCAGACATGCTGCTCACTAGCTCCATGACTGTATCTTCCTGACCTCAGGTTTCTCATCAGAATATGATAATGACATGGGTGCCATTGAGTTTATCAACTGAATTAATCACAGCCTTTTAAGAGAGGGTGGTCCTCAGCTTTTACAGGGCATTGTTACAAGATTAATTGTTTTCCTCCCAAATTCATATGTTGGAGTCCTAACCTCCGGTACCTCTGAATATGACTATATTTGGAGATAGAGTCTTTAAAGGTAATTAAGGTTAAATGAGGTCATAGGGTGGGCCCTAATCCAACGTAACTGTTGTCCTTATAAGAATAGGAGGAGATCAGGACACGGGCACAGAGGGAAAACTGTGAAGAGACAGGGAAACAATGGCCATCTACATACCAAGGAGAGAGGCCTTAGGAGAAACCAAATGTACTGACACCTTGATTTTGGACTTCTACAGTCCACAACTGTGAGAAAATAGATTTCTGTTGTTTAAACTACATAGTATGTGGTATTTTGTTATTGTATCCCGGACAAACTGATGAAGACAGGTTTGCTCACAGCTGCCTCTGCCCTTAGCCCAGAGAGAGTTGGCCTTTTATTCCTGCTCAGAGGCCTCTGAGCTTTGTGACAGGTGGGCAAAATACTGGTGTGTTAGAAACAAGCATAAGGGAAACTCCTATGGACCTAGCCCTCTTGTAAATAAAATCTACAAACTGTGGACCAAAACAAACAACCAAACAAAAAACAGCTCTACCCAAGTCTCTGGTCAGCCCCTAAAGTACACATGCTTTTAGGCAGATTCAGAGCAGTTAAAATAAAAGCAGATCTGAACTATGATTTGACCTGACATGAAAGAGAGTTTGCAGTTTAAGTTTGGTCAAAACAAAAACAAAAACAAAACAAAAAAAATCAACATTCTCTGGAGGATGAAAACAGCTTACTAAAACAAAAAAATCAACATTCTCTAGAGGATTAAAACAGCCCAGAATCTCTGCACCATAACATTCCCAATACACAACATTCCAGGATACGATCTAAACTTGCTTAAAAATGTGATCCAGATTCAAGAGAAAAGTCAGTCAACTGAGAACAATCCTAGATGGTCTCAAGATGTTGGAATTAAGAAGACAAGGATTTTTAAGGAGCTATTATAATTGTATTAGATGAAATAAAATATGCTGGCAGTGAAAGAAGAGAGAAGAAATCTCAGCTAAGAAATAGAAATTATGAGAAAAATCAAATAGAATTGTAGAACTGAAAAAATGTAATCGCTAAAACTAAAAATTCAGTGGATTGGCTTATTACTAGAATGGAGACCACAGATGAAAGAGTCAGCAGACTTGAATATAAAAAGTATCAATGCCCAATCTGAAGAAGAGAGAGAAAATAGATTGGAAATAATGAACAGAGTGTCAGGAAAACTATCAGAAGGTCTAATATATGTGCAATTTGCGTCCCAAGTGAAGCAACAGAGAATGTAGCAGAAAAAGTATCTAAAGACATAGAGGCCAAGAAATTTCCTAAATTTGGTGAACACATAAATTTGAGTTTCAAAAGCTCAGTGAACCCTAAGCAGGATAAATATATATAAAACCACATCTAAGCCTCCTAATCAAACTGCTGAAAATCCAAAGAAAGAAAAAACCTTTAAGGTAGTCAGAAAAAAACTATACACATTGTACCTGGAGGAAGATGATTTGGAAATACGGCAGACTTCTCGTCCAAAACTATGGAGGCCAAAAGGCAGTGGAACAACATCTCCAAAATGCTTACAGAAAAACCTGCCCACCTAGGATTCTATAACCAGGGACAGTATCCTTCAAAAATGAAAATATTTTCAGATTAAAGAACACATAGAAAATGTGTTGCTATTCCTGAGAAATGCTAAAAGAAGTACTTGAAGGGAGGTGATAACAGTTGGAAATTCAGTTTTTAAGGGATTAGTGAAGAGTATCAAAACTGGGATATATGTGAATAAACATAAAAGACTTCAAAAATCTTAATTTCTTTAAAATACATAAGGCTGTTTAAAACAAAAAGTCACAACATTGTCTTCTGGAGTTTATTATGTATGTGGATATCATACCCATGGCAACTATAGCATGAAGGACTGGGGAGCAAATGGACCTATACAATTATAGGTTTTCTACATTTTACATATGATGGAACAGTATCAACTCTAAGTAGATTGAAAAGCTGAAGTTGTATATTATGGATATTTTAATCCCTAAGCAACCACTAATAGTGTAATGTAAAGAGATATAGCTAAAACACAGTAGATTAATTAAAATGGAATTTTAAACAATATTCAAATAATCCAGAAGAAAGAAAATGAGGAACAGAGGAACATGAAACAGAGGGAACAAACAGAAAACAAATAATAAATTAGCATACCTAAATCCAACCATATCCCAAATTACATTAAATATTAGTGAACTGAGTATGCCACTTACAAGGCACAGATTGTCAGAATGGATTTTGAAAAGCAAAACCCACATCTTATACTCATTCGGAGGCTACAGTAAGAAAAAGAACAGAAAATAACATGTGTTGGCAAAGGTGTGGAGAAATCAGAACCCTTTGCACGCTATTAGTGGGAATATAAAATAGTACAGCTGGTATATAAGCCAGTACAGCAATTCCTCAAAAATTAAAAAATAAAATTACCATATGATCCAGCAATTCCATTTCTGAGAACATACCCAAAAGAAAAAGCAAGCAAAAAGAAAGCACGAACATGAAGAAACATTTGTACATACATCTGTTCATTAAAGGACTATTCACAGTAGCCAAAACATGGCAGCAACCCAGATGTCCATCTGTGGATGAACAGATACAGAAAATGTGGTAAATCCATACAATGGAATATTATCCTTAAAAGGAAGGAAATTCTGAAGCAGGCTACAATATGTATGAACCTCAAAGACATCACGCCAAGTGAAGTAAGCCAGCCAGTCACAAAAGACAAATACTGGATGATTCCACTTATGTGAGTTACCTAGAATAGTCAAACTCATAGAGATGAAAGTAAAATGGTAGTTTCAAGGGGTTGGAAGTAGTGGTGGGAGTGGAGAAATAGGAGTTGTGTAGTGGGTATAGAATTTCAGTTTTGCAAGATGGAAACATTCTGGAGATTGGTTGCAGAACAATGCGGATATATTTAGCACTACTGAACTGTATACTTAAAAATGGTAATTTACACTTAAAGATGGTCATGGTACATTTAAGATGGTAAATTTTATGTTACGTGTATTTTACCACAATTAAAAATAAAAATTAAAAATAGCAAGACCGAGCTGAAGTAGTTATTTTAAATATATTACTTTAAAATCGTTATTTTAAATATGAAAACCCAGATAGGTTGAGCATAAATACATGGAAAAAAGGTATATCATGCAACCAGTAAGCATAAGAACACTGGAATGGCTACATTAATATCAGACAAAATAGACCTCCAGACAGAGAGCATTAAGAGATAAAGAGGGACATTTTCATAATGATAAAAGGGTCAATTCATCAGGAAAACATAGTTATAAATGTATATGTACCTAATAAGTAAAAATTCTATAATCTTAGAGACTTTAACAGCCATTTCTCAGCACTTGATAGAAATAGAGAAATAATTTCATTTAAAATATGGGTGATATGAGAACATTATCAGCTACCTTGATCTAATTGATATTTCTACCATACCTGCAACTTCAGAATACATGGTATGTTCTGCAAGATGGATGACCACACACTGGACCACATAACAAGTCGTACTAAATTTAAGGAACTGAATTAATGCAGAGGATGCACACTGACAAGTATGGAGTGAGATTAGGTATCAAGAGCAGGAAGATATCTAGGAAAACCCCTGTGGTAAACAGAGCGATGTATAAACCCACCACCCCAAGTTGTCCATGTCCTAATTCCTGGAACCCATGAATACATTAGGTTACGTGAAAAGAGAAATTCAGATTACAGATGGAATTACGGTTGCTAATCTGCTGATTTTAGGATAGGGAGATGATCCTGGATTGTCTGAGTGGGCCTGGTATCCTCACCAAGGTCCTGCTAAGTAGAAAAGGGAAGCTGAAAAGGAAGTCAGAGTGATGTGATGTGAAGAGGACTCAATCTGCCTTTGCTGGCCTTGAGGATGGAGGAAGGAGGCCACAGCCAAGGATCACGGGCAGCCTGGAGCAGTCAGAGAAGACACACACATGGATTCTCCCCTAGAGCCTCTGGAAAGGAGCCCAGCCCTGCAGATATACTTTGACTGTCATCCACTGAGACCCACATTGGCCTTCTGACTTACAGAACTGTACAATAGTTTGGGTTGTTTTAAGCAACTAAGTTTGTGGTCATTTATTACAATGGCAATAAAAAACTAAAAAAATCCTTGATTTCAATTCACCAGGGTTGTTGCAATAATTGGACTTAATTAAAATAAAAATTAAGGAGGTTATAAAATAAAGGGAGGTCTGCCTTGGAGGAGAGCTGGATCCGTGTCCTTTTGGGCCTTCCTGCCCCAACCCTGGATGGGTGTGGACACAGTGTCCATACTGTTCACTGCGGACTGGACAAACAATCCCCACACCCACTCTAGTGTGTTGAATAGTTCCCCTAAAAATTCATTTGCACTCAGAACCTCAGAATTCAGCCTTATTTGGAAATAAGGTCTTTGCAGATGTCATCAAGGATCAAGACAAGATCCAACTGGATCAAGGCAGGCTCTAAGTCCAAGGAGAGGGTTGTTATCAGACCCAGGTGGGGACTCAGACAGAGAAGACCATCCGAAGATGGAGACAGAGTTTGGAGGGAAGAATCTGCAAATATAGGACGCCAAGGACTGTGGGCAGCCGCCAGAAGCTGGGAGGAAGTCGTAAAGTGACGGAAGGAAACAACCCTACTGACACCTTGGCTTTGGACTTCCGACCTCAGAGCTGTAAGAAGGTCCATTTCTCTTGGTTTAAGTCACCCAGTTGGTGACAGCCTGTTGCAGCAGCTCCAGGTCACTAATACGCCCAGAGTGTCAGTCCCTGGAACCATTACAACCAGAAGCAGGTGCTCAAAGGCTCCAGGGAGCACCTGGCAAAAGGACCGGCTGACAGGAGTTGGGCCCCAGGAATCAGACCTGCTTCCTTCTCGTGCTCCTCTGGATTCATTCTGCTCCCGTGAGACTCGAGGCACGAGGGGTCTCCCCTCACCTCCTGGGCGCTGGCCCAGGCCCTGAGAGCTGCTCCTCCTGGGGCCTCACACCTGCTGTGATAAATACCGTCATGGCTGCACCCCCTCAGAGCCCTGCAGTCACCCAGGCCTCGGGACGTGGCTGTGTGGCCTCTGGGCCCACGCCCTGGCTGGCAAAGACTTGCCCAGAACCCGCGTCTCACTCCGGCCAGGTGGTATGTCTGGGGGGGTTGGAGGGCGATGCCGGCAGGCTGCGGAGCTGCCCCTCGGCAGGGCTGACCGGCCTGTGTGCCCGGCGCATGGCCCCCACTCACAGCACTGCCAGCCGAAGCTGCGGCGCCCAGCGGGGCTGGGAGGGCCTGCCCGAGGAAGGGAGTTCCTGGCATGTCAGCCGGGAGGTAGAGTCCCAGTCTTCGCTTCGGGGTCGTTGTTTTGGTTTCTTGTCAATGCGGACGATGGCATGTGAGCAGGGCAGAGTGCCTGAAGTGGAGGAGACAGCTGTCGTCACGAAAATGCAGTTGTTCTCGGGACCCTGAGTCTGGGGTGCGTGGGGGTCCCCCTGACTCGGGACCCTCGGGGTCTGGGAGCCATCACTGAGTGCTCAGTCCTTTTGCTCTGCTGCTCTGAAGCACAGCCTGTGGAGCTGTGTTTGGCCAAAGTCGCGTCCCCAGGTGGTTGCTCACAGAGGGTTCTGCTCCCTGGAGCACCTTGGGCCTGGGTTCCTGGCCATGGGCACCTGTTCCTACTCAGTGGTTTCAGGATTCATGGGACCTTCTTTGTGGCCAACAAGCATCAGAAGTGGGGAAGGCCCCAGGCACTGTTCTCGGTGCCCAGGAGGTTGGAAGGAGAGGTGGGGGGCCCAGTGGATCTTGCACCCAGTCCAGGCTCCCTGGGTCACCTGCCAAGGCCCAACAGGCCTATTTTTCATTGTTGCCCCACAAGGAAATGCTCGCATGCTGCTGACTGCCGAGTCCCTGCTCCTTTTGTATATTTCAATATGCAGAAAGAGGTTTTTATTGCCTTAATGGGGTGTCTAAATTGCCTGCTCCACCTCTTGCTGCAACAGCCAGCGCTGGAGCTCTGATCCAAACCTGAACAGTGGGATCATTTGTGCAAATTTTTGGGAGCTGTGAGAGGAAAACATTTCAAATTAGGGAGAACATTCCAGTGATTGGGAGTGCTTGGAATCCCCAGCTTACCAACACAGCCATTCCTAAGTGCATTTTAAAAGAGAGGAAAAAATCTCCTCTGCACATCCCTTGGAATTGCCCAGTGGAGAATACGCTGCTGAGGACTGTGGACATGTCCCAGATGCTTTGGGAGAAGGGCTTGAGGAGCTCCAAGGTCGGCACCATCTATGTAGCATTGTCCAAGCAGTGTGCGGTGAGGAAGCCCCGACCAGGCTCTGGACAGAGCATGGTGTCCCCCACGCCAAAGACGTCACAGCAGCTTCCCAGTGCGAACCGGCGCCACTAACTCCGAGGCCCCCCCTTCCTGGAACGGGAGCTTGAGGAGCCAGGCACCTGTAAATGCGAAAGGCTCATCCTCACAGCCTTGCGGGTGGCTCCTGAAAATGTCCATGGAGACCACTGCCCTGGAAACATAGATTCTGAAACCCTTGTGTCTATCTCGGAACATGGCAGGGTACCGATCAAGGAGTCGATTTGAAAAATTGAATTTTAAAAGCCAGTAAGTAAGATCAGGGATGCTTGCCGTATATTTGTCTGCTAGGGCTGCTGAATGAAGTACCACCCACCGGAGGTCTTCAACAGGAATTTATCTTCTCCCAGTCCTGGAGGCTAGAACCCCGAGATCAAGGTATTGGCGGAGTTGGTTCTTCTCTCCTTGCTTTGCAGATGGTCGTGTGTCCGCCGTGTCCTCGCGTAGTCTGTGCTCCATGCACATGCGTCCCTACTGTCTCTCTTGTAAGGACTCCGGTCCTACTGACCACCTAGAACCTCAGTCACCCCATCTCCAAAGACAGCCCCATGAAGGCTCGGCCTTCACTCTGGGCAATATAAGGGGGCCACATTTCCATCCATAGCACACTCTTGAATTTCGAGTTTGAATTTCGGTTACGGTTTGTGCTTTGGTTTGGTCACAGGTCCCTAGAAGAGAGCCTTCCTCCATCACTCCGCGACAGGGCGCGGAACCGACGAGCCCATTCTGAGGCTGCCTGCATGCCGGCCCATCTTTGATCCTCACAGCACCTTGCAAGCCCGGCGATGAGCTCCTGTTCACAGAGGGCAGCACCAGGGGGCAGGGAGCAAGGCCGTTTGCTGGCACTGGCTAGTCGTGCCAGGCCTGGAGACAACAGACGGATAGAAAAGACCATGAACTTCCAGCCACCTCTTCGTGTGTCCTCCATCACCAGGAGGCCGCATGGATCCAACAAGTTAGTCTTATTATGAGCTAACTATGCTCCAGAAACACGATCTATAATTGTCCAGACTTAGGGAAGTCACAGATGCGAGTGGCCGTTTCCAGCTGCCCATTCCCACAGTGAGGGTGGGGCCGGGTGCCTTGGAGAGGAGACTGCCATGGGCTTTGTCCCGCGGGTGCAAGGGAGACAGCCCAGGGGGCCGGGGTGCACCTGAGTGTCAGGGGTGGCACAGGGGGAGGCCAGCCGCCCTTGGACGCGGTGCCGCCAGTCACCTCACCCATCCAATGGGAGCCGAGCATGTCCCCCATGGATTGTGAGGAGAAAGGATCCATGCGGGCAGCAAGAGTCAGGTCCAGTGTTGCTATCCATCAAGCCCGTGGTCGACAGGAACTATGGTTCTCAAATCCCTGCTCTGCCGGCAAAGCCCCAGCTGCTGCTTCTTGTGCACATTCAAGGTTTGTCTCTACCGAGTGCTCGCACTGGGCACCCCGTCCACGAACTGCCTCTCTGGGCTGGCATGGAGTTGGCGGGGGCCCTGGGCGGCCTCCAGGAGCTCGCTGCAGGAGAGGGAGGCTCCCTGCAGACAGAGGTGCCACCGTCCTTGGAAATCATCGTGATGGGGCCTTCTGCGCGGGCACGGAACCCCGAGGAAGGAGCTCTCTGGGCCGGTGGGTGCCGGCGGGGTGGCCCCCCCGGGACAGAGAGGGGCCCGTGGAGCATGGGACCGAGGGAGGCTTTTGTGTGGCCGCTAGGAAGGAGCAGACCAGAGTTCAGGGTGGGCGCTGGGGCCCCAGTGAGGGGGACCACCCGACTAAGGGGTTTCTTTCCACTGGGAGGCCCACTGCATTAGTTTCTTGGGGTTGCCGTAACAAATTACCACAAATTTGGATGGCTTAAAGCAACAGAAATTTACTCTCTTTCGGAGGCTGAAAGTTGGAGATCAGTGTGTCAGCAGGGTACTTCCTCTGCAGGCTCTGGGGGGAGGGTCCCTGTCTTTCCCTGGTTTGTGGTGTTGGCAGTCACTCCTTGGCTTGTAACTGCACGCCTCTGACCTCTGCCCCCACCATCGTCCCCGTGTGTTCTGTCGTCTCCTCTCCTTATAAGGACACCAGTCACTAGATTTGGGACCCACACTAATCTGGCCTAACCCTGTCCTAACTAAATACACCTGCAAAGATCTATGTCCAAATCGTGTCACAGTCCACAGTTCTGGGGGGACGATTCAACCCTATCCAGAAGTTTGTCCCAGATTGTTGTGACTTTGTTGTTCATTCCCCAAGTCATGCCTATAATGCCCCAAACGGCATGTGATATTTACAAGTCACAAGTGTTTTCTGGAGAAAAGTGCCGGGGAAGGGAATTCTCTTCAGGTTAACGTCTCATCTCATTCCAGCTGGCCCAGCCCTCAGATTCCCAGACAGTCTACTCGGGTTGAGTCAGCAAACCTTCTGCTCCCCCACCTGGCAGACTTGCTCGGGTGTCCCGAGGGGAGCAGGTAGAGCAGCCTACCCAGGAAGGTGAGCAGGGCCTTCCTCCCCTGGGCAGGAGAGGCACTGCCCCACAGCTAAACTAAGCCCTGAGACAGTGGGACCGTTGGAGGCCTCCGGCCTCAGACAGGCTGCTGCCCCTTCAGGACTGAGCCACCCGGGTGTCCCTTGCCTTTCTCACCTCAGTGTATTCACTGTGACTCCGGACCACCTGAGTTAGATCAGGCTTATGTAGTAGGACTCAGCAGGACTCATTTGCCTGTACTGGTTGGAACAAACTGGGAACCGCTGAAGCAGAAAGGGGCTTATTGAGAGACTTGGAGATGCCCCTACGAGCCACTGAGCCACTAGGAAAGCAGGAGCGGGCCAGATCTGGATATGAGATCCAGGGACATGCATGCCCACGGGTCCCCTGGCTGCGTCCCCACTGGCTTCACTTGGCGTTTCAGCCACTGTCTTCCTTCGCTCTCCCTGCAAATTGGCTTTCTCCAAGTCCAGAATCCTCAGGACAATGGCTCATTGGTCTGGTGTCCCCCAGTCATTGGAGACCAACTGGGGACAACCCACGGGAAAGCGAGGGATGGGCAGGCAAACCTGCGGAGGCCTGCTACGTGCCTTGATTCCATGATGAACACTTGGCTCCAAGAATGGCACTGGAAACCTCTAGGCTAATGGTTGTCATTTGGAAATCATTTCCTGGGCAGGGCTGGGTGAGTGCCTCTCCCGGAGCTGAGGTCAGATGCTGGCGCGATTTGGCTGAAACTGTGCGGTGTTTGTGAGAGCTGCCATGGCCCTGGGTCCACCAGCTCCTCCTGCAGCCTCAAGGCAGCTGTGACCAGGGAGGGAAGGAGTGGATGCTTTTCTGTAGACCCTGGAAGCCTATGCACGTGGAGGGCCCTTCCGCCCACCTGGCCAGCTTGCTCTAAACCAGCCTGACGATTTTCCCTGCTCCCTGGATTGGGGGTTCCAAATCCATGAGAGACAATGCGGCTGTCACGGAAGCCAACCTCACATCCCTCCAGGCTTTTCAAATGCAAGAGGACCCAGCCAATGCCTCAGAGAAGAGAAAGGGAAATGAGTGGAGGTGCCAGGCTCTCTGCAAGACAGCGGACGGGCAGCGCAGGCTGAGAAGTGCTCTCCGAAGAACGAACGAGAAGGCTGGGTGGAAATGGACCCAGAGGACCCAGAGGACCTCTGAGAGCCACCCAACGCCCCTCAGTGGGGGCAGGAGCCTCAGACGGCAGCCACCTTCCTCGAATCATCATAAGTGAATTGAAGAAGAGGGTTTGTTGGCTTGAGCCAGAGGGTCTGGAGGTATTGATGGCTTCAGGCATGGAATGACCCACATCAGAGGGTGGCACGCTTCAGCCTGAGGGCCGATCGGTTCTGCCGCCTGTTCTTGTAAATGCATTTTTATTCGAACATAACCACAGCCGTTTGTTTAAGTATTATCTGTGTCTGCCCTCCCACAATGGCAGAGTTGAGGAGTCCTGCCAAAGACCATCACTGGCAGAGCCTAAAATCGTTATTATCTGGCCTTTTCCACAAAAGGTTTGCTGCTCCCGGCTTTAGAGCTGTGTTGCCCAACATGGTGGCCACATGTGGCTCTTGTCTTTTAGATGCATGAACTGGGTCTAGTCTGAATTAGGAGGGGCTGTCAGTGTACCCAAGGCACGACTTCAGAGACAGTATGAAGAAAAGGACGTAGAGTGGCTCATGGAGAATTTTTACTATTGATTGCTTGAGATGATATTTTTTAATATGTTGGGCTAAACAAAACATACTACTAAAATTAATTTCACCTTCTGCTTCTTACACTTTTCACGTGGCTACTGGAAAATTGTCTACTGCAGCTGCAGCTCCCGTTGTGTTTCTGTCAGATGGCACCGAGTCAGACACCGGATGACGTCACGCCTCCTGCCCGCCTCTCCGGTGGGCTTCCTGCACGTGGCAGACGAGATGCCTGCTAGCGCCATCCTTTGAAATTGCAGGTCACAGTCTGTTAAATGGGCCAGGAAATCAATGTAGTAGGTCATGGCCGGAGTTTTTAAAAAATGAAGAAGAAGAAAATCGAAAATGTTTACAGTGCCTTGCACACTACAGGTGAGTGTTGGCTTGCAAAATGTGTTTCAGTTGTGTGTTCTTTTTTTTTTTTTTTTTAAGATTTTATTTATTTATTTGAGAGAGAGCACATGAGAGGGGGAGGGTCAGAGGGAGAAGCAGACTCCCCGCCAAGCAGGGAGCCCTATGCGGGACTCGATCCCGGGACTCCAGGATCATGACCTGAGCCGAAGGCAGTCGCTTAACCAACTGAGCCACCCAGGCGCCCAGTTGTGTGTTCTTTAGTGCATCAGGGAGTGCCTTGATCTGCAAGATGTACTATGATTTTTATGAATAAGAAGAAGACATACAGCCAATCACACCACAATGAATGGCGGCAAACAGCAGACTCTTGAAACACCGGAATCTGTCACAACAGCTTCTTGGTGCTTTGAATTTCTCTTCCATCCTGAGAGACGTGGCCATTTCTCCTGCCTTTGGCTGCATGGCGGGGTGCGTTCTAGTCCTTCCTTTTGCACGTGTCTCGGTCACCAAACGACCCAACTTCAACTATTTGTGGGAGACTTCCCTTCTTAAGTCTCATAAAACACTTGGTGGTTGTTTTGGGAAAAAACCAGCTTGTGGCCTCAAGGTCATTCTCCCTGTGATGAATATTTGCTCCCCTAATACTGAATCTGGTTTTTGTGACCTAATGCCCTGCTTTGGCATTTTTCTGCATACTCAAAATCCTTTCATTTCGATGTGGAATCCTAGCAACTCCCTGTGAAGACATTCTAACAAAAATGAAATTCACCCCATGTGGTCCCAATAAGATGGACAATCCCGGTGATGTGTGGAGGGCCCAGGGAGCTTTTGACTGCAAGAATACATTTTTAGAGATGCCAAAAGGTTAGAATAGACAACAAGTAATGTGTAAATATGTGAGTAGTGGTCCAGTGCAAAATGCATTTCCCGTTGTGGGTTGTGAAAAGCGTCGAGAAGCACCAGGCACGTGGAGTGCTCCCTGTGAGGAATCCCAGCCTTCCATAAACCCTTGGGGCTCAGACCTCCATGGGCTGGAGGCTGAGTCACATGCACCTTCCCCTGAAGTCAGCGGGACCCACACCACCTACGATTCATACAGGAACAGTAGCAGCTGGGGCTGCTGAGCCTGGGCCAGGCAGACACCTTCTGTGGGGTGAGCTATGTGGATTTCAAGACTGCACCTCCTTTACTGTTTTGTTCCCACTTCATCCTAACGTTGGCTGGAAGGAAGGTGGGATGCGGCGTGCTCATCCATTACTTCGTAAGCCACATCTTGGTTCATTTGTTCTTTAAGTCATTCAGGAGATAGTCACTGAGCATCTACTGCATGCAAGGCACACACAGGCTAGCACCAAAGAAGAGGGCAGAACTCGGGATGGGGAGAGGGAGAAGCCCAAAGGGAAGCTGCCAATCCTGGAATGTTCTGCTAGGCGTGGGAGTTAAAGAGCATCACTGGGCTGAAGGCACCACAGTGAGTGGAGATCCTTTGCAGAGAGATACCGGGGTGTTAGCAATGCTGTGCAGATGGAGGAGGGAACATACAACAGATTAGTTGACCAACCAACCGACCAAGCAACTCATCAGCCGCCAAGTGCTATCAGAAGCCCTGTGTGCCCCACCCCACCCCCTCCCTGCCCAGCTACTTCTCATGCTGAGTAGCTGAGGTTCGTGGGAAGGGTTCCGGGTATCTATGCAGTAGTAGGAATGGCTCTGAGACCAGCCAGCCTCCTGTCCTCTTTACTGTGTCCCCACACAACCGTGGGGCTCCTCTCCCGCGTGGGACTCATCTCCCCAGTGCCCCTGCTGCCTGCAGTTTCCCCCTGCACGTAGCTAGCTGGCCTGCAGGGTGCTGACGGCTTGGGAAGCTCATAGGTCTGGGCCAGTGGTCCACGTGCCCTGCTCCATGCTGTGGGAGCCACTGCGACCCCAAGCATGGACACATCTGGGTTAGCTCTGGTAGTGAAGCCTGAAAGTTCTTTGAACTGACCACACAGTTTCTCTTGGGGACACACAGAACTGGCAAAGCTTTATTTCCTGTTTCTCCTGGCTAGCAGTGGTACTTTCTGCCCCGTCTCCGGCATGTTTCTCACATGCCTGCAGCCCGAATGCCGCAGCTTCAAGAAGAGGCTATGGGACTCCGACACATCTTTGGTGGCAAGGGTTGAGCACACAGCTTTATAATGAGGTTGGAAAGTTTGGGGCTATGCATTTAATGAAGTTTGTATTAAGATCTAACACAGCTGCTTCCGTTCGCACTTCGCAGCATTATTTAGAACAGATGTTTAATACTTAATGGATTGAATATTTAGGTATGGCGATGCATTTGACACCCACCATTAAAGAAGAGAGCTTCAAATGCAGTGAAGTCCTCCTCAAGCAGTGGTTATGGGGTTTAGGCAGTGAACTCTCCAGATGGGCCGAAGGGGAATGGAGATCTTGAAGGAGATGCCTTCCTGCACCCCGGCTTCCTGTGCTGTCTCCAGGGGCTCCCTGAAGGGCTCTGCAAGCCACCTCCATCCCAACCGACTGTCAAGGTTGCTCCCGACCGACACTCCACCTCCTTCAGGTGAAGCATTGGGTAAGTTTTCCTCTCCAACAGAGATTGTTCTAGAAAGGCATCCATCCCTTACAGACCAATTCAGGAAGTTCAAACAAAGTTATGGATCTCCAAGAGCCTTCTGTATATTATGAAGTCTACTATGCTCCATGGAACACTGTGGTGTGCTTATTATAGTTTATTCCATAAGTAGATGCACCTTAAGAACAATTTATTTGAATATTAATACCTCTTAAGGGAGACATCATCAGGCTGTCTAGAAAACATTATCATGGTAAAGTTCTGGGGAAAATATCACATAGCAAGTCCACAAAACCAATAAAAATCCCCACCATGTGACCCATGTGATGAAAAACACGGGGTTTCTCCCTGCTGTTGCCGAGTCGCCTCGGGGGTGGGGGTGCACACACCTGCCCCCCCGAACCCCCCAGGCCCCCTGCCCAGGGGACTGCTGGCTCGCTGACTGGTGCCCATAGAGACAAAAGCCAGCCAGGGCCCAGCTGGGTGGCCGGGTGGACCCCGCCTTCCTGGTGACGGCTGCTGGCCTCAGTGGGGCCCATGCATGGCGGGAGGGGCCTCACCAGCTGAGCCCCCATCTGGGGTGGCAGGTGGAGGGTCGGGGAGGGAACCTGAGGAGGGCAGGAGTCCACCAACAGCCCTCTGCCAGGAAAGTGTCTGGCCTACACTTCTCGACACAAGAGGCTGGAGCCTGGGCCCCCTGGGGTAAGCTGCAGCCTCGGAGTGGCGTCGGGCACAGAGGAAACATCTCGGAGGCACAGGTCGCTACCACGGAAGAAGTCGCTGCCGGGCTCTCTCTGGGCTTCAGATTCCTCATCTGCACAATTAATAATAATAATAATAGCAGCATCCTCATAAACACAGTAAATATGATGATGAGTTGTGGGACCGACCCCTGGCCCGTGGTGACATTGGGGTTCTGCAGTGGGGCCCCCTCCCACATGGAGGGCCCCACCGCTCGCTGCCCACACCTTCGCACTCACCTGCCTGGAAAGAGGCAGGCCAGCTGTAGCCTCAGCCGATAGGCTCATTTGGAAAATGGAAATGTGCATCCTAACCCCATTTGTCATGTTATCAGTGCCCGTTGACAGCCGCATGGCACAATCCAAAGGAAAGATTTAGACCTAACAGGGAAAAATCAGTTAAAATTGACATATCCATTAGAAGATTTTAGAACTGAAAACATATTCTTCATGGAGTGTTAGGATGACTTCTTAGGTGATGCTAAATCAATAGCTCATACCTGGGATGAATTCATTTTTTTGTTTTATGAGAACTGTCTGGTTCCTCAATTCTCTCCTGTTCTGCCTTTTCAGAAGTGCCCCAGGAAAGCCGCAGATGAATCTTGAAGACACCAGCTGCAGTTGCAGCCTGAAACCCCGTCAGCCATGTCGCCCCCCACCCGGGTCCTGGGTGTGATGCCACCCCAGCAATTTGTTGACCGACGCACTCCTCGCCCGCATCTGCCCCTGCGAGCCTCGGATGCATTGCAGGCCGAGGCCCCTTCAGCCTCCTCCAGCTCTCGTGGTCCCTGGGCCCTCTGGTCATCACCACGCATGAGAGACTCACATGGCGCCACAGGAGGGGTGGCCATGCCCTTGGCCAGGTTTTCCACGTCCTCTGACCCAGGGCAGTGGAGGGACGCAGGGGCGGGGCCAGTGCTAAAGGGAAGGAATGGCAGCAGCAGACCCCAGACCACCAGCCTGCCACCCCTGGGCCTGTGTCGCCCTGGTCCCTGGCCCACCCACGACCGAGCCCTGAATTCAGCAGCTACGAGAGATTACCGCCCTTGACGGGGAAACGGAGGTTTCCTGATGACTTTTGTGTCCGAAGCAACGCTCTCATTCACATCTAAGGACATACCACATCTTGGAAAAACATGGACCTGGGTATAAAATATAAGCCCTGGGAGGAAACACCTCTGCTGCTAAGTATACAAGAATTCTCAGGGCAACAGCCCCGGATGGCGGCCAAGAGTGTGGGCCGGGGAACCCCGCTCCTGGGCTAAGTTTCGGCCGGTGCCCGGTCTAGCTGCGGCCGGGGCAGGCGGCGCCCGCTCCGTGCCACTTGGAGGTGGGGACACAGTCCGTCCACCTCGTAGGGCTGCAGCAGAGCGGTGAGCATCCGTGAGTGACAGCCACCACCACCACCATCACAGCTGCTGTCTCTGACCCCTGAGACAAGGAGAGGGGCGCACCGCTGGTCAGCGGCTGGAGGTTTGTGACAGGCCAGTGTCCCCGGGCCAGTGCCCCCTCTCCAACACTGCGGCTCCATCCTGCCAGCCCAGCCCCAGGCCCTGCTGCGAACACCAGCGCTGCCCGGGCTCCCCCGTGGACACTCCATCCTCCAGGGTCAGGTAATAAACCCGACCGAGGTCACCCCTCCCATGGAGGGACCTGCAAAGCCTTGTGTCTCAGGGCT